ATCCATCATGGTTTTTTAATTACTCTTATTTTAATGAAAAATATTTTAATAGTAAGCAAATCAAGCAATCCTTATACTCAGTTAGGCTCTGGCTGAGCAAAGTTGATAATCTGCAGTGAATCTTTGATGCCTAGGTTTGAAATAAAACATATCTTTTCTCTTCTGCCACTCAGTACCAGTGTGGAACATGCCCTGGGTACTTGACTAAGCGAGGATCTGAAAGAGTCCCATGATAAGGTCCAAGGGGTTCAGAAGGAGGATTTAGGACCTGTTCATTACCCCTAGATGAAGTTTTGGCAGTGGTTTCAACGCAAGTACGAGCAGGTCCTCCGATACAGAAGCATAACTTGCACCACTACATCCTCTGTGACTATAGGGAGAAGTCATTGCACCTGTCCAAGTGTCCTGAACCCAAGTGAAACAGTTTTAGGAAAGTTCAGGCTGTTAAGCTGTTCTATTGCAGCTTTTCACATCGTATATCCTACGTTATAAAAACTGAGACAACATGAAAAAAAACATTTATCTATTCATTTTAGGGCTTACTTTGGTATTAACCTTTTTATGGTTTGCCTTTTTCCTCCCAGCTGTTTTCTTTCTTATTTATTACACATGGTTTTTGTTGGAACATAGCAGTCCAGAAATCGGTGCTTTTGAAGGCAGAGTAGATACACAACTGAACTCTGCTAAATGATCTGCTCTGTTTACACGAGGCTTGTTAAATAACAAAGAGCAGAAAGCAAGTACTGAGCGTCGATGTGGGTTTTCATCATTTATCATTGCGGATTATAGTGTTCTTGCAACTACGAAAGATAAAATCGTAACGGAATGTGATATGAAAGCAATATTCCTTTACAGATCTTTGTTGTGCAAATTGCTGTACAAGCAGTTAATTCTTATGGCTCCCGGGAGGTAGACAGGTCACCTGAACATCCTTAACACTTTGAAGGTAAAACTATAGAAAGATATGGTTTTGACACATGGATTATGTCTAGGTTTTTATAACTTTGGAAACATTCCTGCATGGTTGAAGTTATTGGCAAGTCTCCCATTGATTTCAGGAGTTCCTGATAAAATCCACTGATTTTATGAATCAATTAGGAAATCCTTTTTCTGGACTACAAACAAAAAGAAAGTGATGTTTACCACGGAAAATTCAGAATCAGGCTTCAAACACTCTGCACATTAGTTTATTTGAAAAATGATTACTGTTAATACAGCTGGAGTTGTTAATAAATATATGTTTAAATCATCAAAATTTCAGCATAACCAGAAATGCTTAGGACTTTGAAATTTCGGCTGCATAACAAAAAAGAAAGAACGAACTTACTGTCCCTTATTTGAACTTACCGAACCAGAACGTCATGATACTATAGGAGCTTGACAGTGGTCAGCTGGACAAAGGCACTAATCTGGTGGGGCTAGTAAGGGTGTTGCTTATTTCCTTTTTTTGCTAGCTATTGCTGTTAGCTGGTTTTGCTATTAAGTGCATCAGCAGCACCAAGGTTTGTGCAAGTTATTGGTCTCGTTTGCACCATCTTTGTACCACCAGTAGTACTAAGTGTCACAGTGAGAGGAGCCCTTTCCTGAAGTATAAAGTATGTTAAAAGAAATACTTAAAATTCCAGGCCTCTCATATTGAAATTGTAAGGAACTACAAAACTCTTGGCAAATACTCATGTTTAGGTTAAGTACACCCTTTCCACTGCAAATATACTCTCTCCGTAATATGCTTAAGCCATTCTCAGTGCAGAATTCCAGCAGGAAGCTCTTGGGGAGACTCAGCAGGATAACAGCATGGATTTGGCTGTGTCTTTCATTTTATGTCCAATTCTGCTATTGGACACATGAAGATGTTTAAAGAACCAGTCCTCCTTACTCTGCACACTAAAATCCCTCACTGAAATTAGAACTGGGAGCCACTCATTTTTCTAAGGCTCTGCCTAGCAATGAGATTCCAAACCTTTTTCTTTAAGTAAGAAACATAGAGTTAATTAAGGTGTTGTTTTTTATAAAATATTTTATTAAGAATAATAAGAGTAAACAAGGTTACAAAAATACCAACTTTATTAACTAATGAAGATGCTGTTAATTACAGAAGATTTGTAATACAAGTTATAACCACAGTGTTCCCTTTTCATTAGGCATTCGGCTAGTCGTATTTAATGGGAGCATTATTTTTCCCACTTAAATATGAAAAAATATTTTTAACTTACACTGAATTCCACAGGCAGCTCCCTGAAGTTAGATCCTATGCAAGGAAACACCATACATAAATGTCCAAGTGTATGTTTAAAAAGGAACACTGTAAAATTTCAGGGTGAAAAGTCATGTTAGTTCCTGCCAGCAGTCCTAACATTCATAAAACAATAATATACCAGTGCACATGAGGGTGGAAGAAAATAATTGATAAGGAAACAAGGCTAAAGAACCAATCCAATAGGTTTTATACAGGTTTCGAGGGAGTCAACTGGTTTACAGCCAGCCTTTCAGAAGGATGGCAAAAAAGCCTCACCTCCTGTTGCCATTGATGGAGTTGAGAAGCTGTGTTTTCAGTGTACAAGGATGCATGTAGTTCAGTGAACGGCCATAGGGAAAAGCACTGAGCAACTTTCAGCCCCCACTTTTTTGACAATCACATTCACTCATTTCAAGGGACTTTTTGCCTGAGTAGATTTTGACCCTCAGAGATATATTTAGACCCTCGTCTGAAAAGCTTTAACTCAAGTGAGTAGCTCTATCAAGTACATTGGCTTTGCCTTCAGCAAGGGTCTGCAGAAAGCCTCAGAGAATTTTAATCTTAGAGATTTCAGCAGTAGCAGCAAAAATCTAGACCAGTATATTCCCAATGAGAGCTACAGTTTCTCTGAGGGTCATGAGGTTTATGAGAGAAAAAGAGATAGGGAAAAAAGGTTTTTTAAGGGAAAAATGTTTCCACTAATGAAAGGAAGAAGTGTCAGCCAGTTCCAATGCCCAAAGAAAATCAATCAATTAAGTCAAACTAACTTCAGTAACACAAAATTATTTTTTAGGTTTCAATTCCAAAATTTTGTATCCAGGTATTATGCTTTTCAGAGACCAAGGATTAGTTACAACAAAGAGAATGAACAGGAAATTCAGTGGAGTTTAAGAATGTCCTTAGATAAGAATTTAAGTTGTGTACACTTTAATTCTAATATGAATAAAATCACATTTACAACATAAAGTCCAGATCTCACTGAAGTTAGTAAGACCCTTTCCAGCAATTTAGATGGGCACTAGATCAGGTTCTTTCATTATTACAGAGAGAAAAATATTAGAACAGTGAAAACATATTTAAAGAGTGTCCTTTCTTAAGAGAATCCTGTAGTTATAACAGTTGCCTGGTACAGTACCATTGGTACCAACAAGAAATATTCACAGGAATAAATGAAGTACAAATTCATTACCACATATCATTATTCTTCTCTTCCCTTGCTCTTCAGAGTTGCACGTGCCCTCCATACTGAGGTAGGGAGAGCAAGAGCACCTGATAAGCAAGTGCATACAAACGTGTTAAGTTCTGGAGCATCAGCTCTGCACAATTTATTTTGCTGAGGTGCTGCCCAGAACAAACAGGTAAAAATCCTTACGCGTTGTCTAACAAAAAACAGTATTTTTATCATATATATATGTGTGTATATATATATAAAAAATCACAGTCTTCTGCACAGCAGAAGCATATAACTAAAATATTTTAGGATTTGATTTTTTTAGATAGACATTACAAAATGCCTGTAAATATAATACAGTGAGCACATAACAGTTCTTGGAATACAAAGAGTGAACATGGAATTATGTATTTTATCCACATTCTACTTGTTACTGAAAGCAAAACTCACTTGGAGTTTTTTAAAAGTCTCTCTTAAAAAGTTAATCCTTTCAATAAGATATAGTCAGTATATACTTAGTAAGAATATGCTCTTTACACACATGGCAAATACAACAAACTGCAAATACAACAGGCTAAATCCTGCCCTCTTTAAGCCTGGTAAGAAAGAGAGCCCAGAAGGAGCATAAAGTCTTCAGAGGCAGACAGAAGAGATCGAGACAGACTATCTGCATAGCATCCACAACCTCAGATCCACTGTACAGAGAAGTCGCAACTTGTCCAAAGCAGCTATTTACATCAGGAGGAATTTCAGAAGCTCTGCTTGCTGAAAGACTTCTTATATGCCAGTAGAATCTGCTGGACACAAATCTCAGCAAGCCAAGCCACTTAAACATGGGCTGAAACTCATCCCAGTTCATGAGGAGATGTAAGCACATTTGAGTCCCACTGAAGTCAAAGTGCACTGCTGAAGAGAATAATTCGGTGAGTCAACATGAGGGCTGCCACCCAGGACAGCTCCCCTGCAACAGTTACTTTCTGCCAGGGCAGAATTCAGCCCTGTGTCTTCTGAATGAAATGTTCTACACCATGATGTCAGCTTAGGGGCTATTCAGTTAGATACGATACACATACCATACAGTTTGCTCCTGGAAACATTTACAATTACACAGCCACAAGTGAAGTAACAGTGCAGTTACTTATGCAATTACAGGTACAGTAGTAAAGCTAACAATTGGATATATGTTGTATCAATTTTCCAGAAATTACAGGGTAATTGGTGCCACCTATAACAACATATTTGTATAATACTTCCAGCCATACAACTAAATGCCGAAGGGAGAACAAGCACTTTTCATAGATGATGATTATTCGTTCCCTCCCCCATCAACATAAAGGAAAATGATAGTTCTACATACAGGCAGGAAACACAAGTTACTAAACTATTGGTGGTTTTCCATATTACATACAAGATCATATCAATCTCTACCATGATTTTATTACCCTGAAAGGAATTATACAAAGGATATAACTTTGTCCAAATTTAAATAAAGTTTTATTAAAGATCTTAAGTCTCTGAAAGGCTATTAATGTATAACTTACTTTTCCCAGTATTAAGTCTCTCAGCCAGGTGTCAGATTCAACTATTCTTTTTCCTGCTGTAAATACAGTTACTTTCATGAAATAACTAGAATTGACTGAGTTTTTAACACTTGTCTATTGAGAAAGATTTGGGCGTATTTGAATGAGATTTCTTTTAATGGCCAAAATCTGCCAGTAGCTAATCAGGATTAATTTTTCAAACTGTATGAAATACTCTCTTTAGCATTGCAAATTCACAGTTATTTCTGGGACTAGCATTACAGAAATGATCGACAGTTTGCTAACCAATCTGCTTCTGTGTCTCTTTCCTCATCCAAAAGGGTTTTTGAGATATCTGTTAGAAGATCACACACACATTGAAGGAACCAAGTCTATAAGCACTATGTAAAACAAAGAGGTACTGACTTCTATGAGAACTCTGCTTATGGCAGGCTTGTCAAAGTCCATCAATAATGAAAAGATTAATTTCTAAAGAGATTATTATTTAATGAAATATTGAAATCTTTGACCTCTTATAAGGGAGGAAGAGAAATATGATCATATGTGCTGTCCTTGACAGATGCATATATCTCTCAGTAGGTCTTTTGTCATACATGAAGAGAAATATATGGCTTATTGAAAGAATAAAATGTGTTAAATAAAACTATAATTTGCTTCTCCTTCTAAGATAATCTGAAAAGCAGCATAAAAGAGGTCATATGATCTATTTCTACAAAACCATTTATCATCCAGTAATAATACCTTTGCAAAATTGTTTATCCATTCAAGTATCTTCAGGAGATATGTCACCATACTTGCATATATTGTAAGTCACTCCAACATTTATAAAACAACACTGATAGACAAAAACACCAAAACCACCCATAAATATTAAAAGATGCTCAACAAACTTGACTATCAAGTAGTTAAAAAAAGGGTTCATCTTTACATTACACATTAATTCCATGCTGTCCAAAATCTTTCTTTGAATGGAAGTTGTTGAGTTTTTCAGGGTTTTCTGTAGGTCATCATAATCTTGTGTATCCACCGGGAGTAATAGGAGACCCGAACAAAAATCCCAGGACGATTTCGAATGGCACATCCGCGGCCAGGAACAATGACACCAACTACTATCTTCAATCTGTTCTGTTCACAAACCAAGGGACCACCATAATCTCGCTAGGAAAAAAAAAAAAAAAACAAACAAAACAACATAAAGAATGTCACTTCTCAAAATGCTTCAAGACACAGCTTCCACTTGTGTCTTACTGGCTGGTTTCTTTTGGGGATGACCTAGATCCATGAACAGGCAACAGAATTCTTCTTGTCATAGGACAAAAAACAACTTCCAATACATTTTTTCACAAACAGAACTTGCAAACCAATGCCGAGGTTGGCTTTTGACCTTTGGTTGCTTCCCATGCAAATTAAACCCTCTGATCCATCTTTACATGTGATTCTAGTGACTTCAGACTACCAGATATTACTCTTTCAGCTATTTGCAAGTATGCTATGTGTTTATATGCATATAAACCAGATGAGCTGAAAGTGAGTTGACTGATAAACATCTTTGTTACGATAACAGGCTTTGCATCAAAGACTACTGATAGAAAGAGGTTAATATCCTTCTGTCAGTCAATCATCTTGCAAGGCCCTAGGATGAGAATCTATGTGTACTAATAGGCGGATAGGGGAATCTTAAACATATAAAAGGTTATATTTTACAGACATAATTTTGAGACATAACTTGTTAAAACACTCTTTTTCATTATTCTGAGTGAATGAGAGATCTATGCACCAGTATATGTATTCAGTGAAAATTTGGAGGTCTTATTTAGCACTAAAATACACCCAGTTTAAATTAGATTGAAACAGTAATTTAGATATATTCACATAGATTTGAGACTTGAACATAGATACTTCAGTTTTCACCAGGTAAAACGTACACTGAACCTAGTGAACTAGCTGCAAAACTAAACAGTAAATGTTCATATTGGATAGTGAAACATTGTTTCAAAAAATAAAAGCTGACAATTAGCATTGTGTTCTCTGTGGATCACCAGAGAAACAATACTGCTTGACCTTTATTTGGTTTGTTTGTGTTTTTGTTTTTTTTTTTCTGACTGACTGCAGATTAGTTCCCACATGAACAATGAACTATGTCAGTACCATCAGAGCGGCTCATAAAACACTTTCAGGAGTGGAGTTTCACCTGCCAATCTTTGTTCTCTGCTGAGGAAAGTAGCTTCAAAGGGGAACTCAGGGAGCAGGAAACCATGCAGTGATTAAGACTGATTGCTAATATTAATTCAGTCCATTTCTTTTTGTAGGGGAAAACAAAGTGCAGGATCCCCAGTAGATGTCCATGTAGATGTTTCATTTATAAGCCTTGACAAGTCTAAGAGCTTATTTATGATTAAATATTTGATTTTGAAGAAAACACTTTGCAATAACAAAATGATCCTGTGGAATATTAATAATAAATGGAAGAGGCCTGAGCGTGATGAAGACCTCATTCGTCCATGGTTTGGTAGTACCCTTGGGTAGTACCCTTCCACTACTTGGTTAACATCAACATTAGGAAATCATCTATTCTACTCCAGATATTAAATGCATAATAACGTTCAAGGCATCCCTCCTTCTAGATATCATCTTATCAGGCAGAATTTCCACACAAAAAATTATATCTTCCTGTGATAAATGATTTACAGCGTTTCTCCTCAGATATCTTTTCTCCATCATCAAAATAGTCCCAAGCAAAGTAACTGTATCAAGCTGTTGTTTCACTGAAGTAGTTCGCCTGTCCTCACTGATATGTTGGTCAGGCTTGATTCAGGAGATTAAATACTCCAGCCTTCTGACTAATTCTGAACCTCAGTACATTTTTGGATCTTTCTCCTTCCTTCATAACTGTATCAACTCTGTTAAGTAGTGATATTTTTTGTATTTTGCATACAAGTCCTCATGTAAGTAGTTAAGTTTACTCCAGCCTTTGCTTTCTACTCAATCACATTATACTGCTGTTGCTAGCACACAGCTGCCGTAGACCTTACGATACAGAATACAAATTTCTCTCAGTCTAGCACAGTGTTTAGTCATATTAGTGTATTTCACACTCATGTAAATCCTTTACTGGTATGGTGGTAAGGTGAAATTGAAGCAAAGGAACCTCTTCCTGCACTCTGGCAGAAAACAGATCACTAAAAACACAAATTGTTTTCCAATACAAAAGATTAAAATAATTTTTTGTGTACAAATTTAATGCAGAGAGAATAATTATAAAAAGTTCTAGTAAATTATTTCTGGGACAGAAATAGCCAGGCTAATGGCTCCTAAGAATCTATTAGGAAAAGTGATATTTACCTCACAAGGCCCAGCACCAATGGTTTCAGCCACAGCACAGATTTCTGACTCATTCACAATGATCTTCCCTTTGAGATACTGGTTGCATTTCTCATTTCCCAAAATAAACAGGTTTGCTACCCGGAGAAGGCCATCATAGTTAATCACTGGGATTGAAAAGAGAATAAAATCTTTATTCTATTTCAAGGGAAAAAAGATAATTGAAGATGCAGTCTGGATAAAATTACTCATGTAACTTCAGTTACCGTACTTTCTCTCCAGTACTCTCATTTTTGTCCGTCCTTGCTATTCTCATGTACTTGTCTTTTGGATTTCTTACATTTGCTACTAATGAGAATTGCAAGAAATTCATTAGATGCACATGTCTGTTCAGTTCTCTGCCAATATCTGGAGAAGTTTTCTGTGTTAGAAGAAAGGGCTAGGTAACAGGACAGTTACCTAGTTACAGATCACGACCAGCTTGCCTTGGCACATCGTAGAAATCAGAAAAAGTGAGCCTGAGAATGCTGTCACTTCCATCAGTGGAGTGAGGATTTTGCTCCCTGCATTAAATACGAGTTAATGTGTAACAGCGCCTACCATGGCCAAGGGAAGGACGTGTGACTTGAAAAATACTGTAGCAGAGCAGAGTTTTTCTCGTTCTGTGCTGGCTCAGCTACACTCAATGACTTTGTGCCTGCAAGGGCAGAGTCACAGCTTTGTGCAATCTCCATTCATCAGTGTGAAGGTCAGGAAGCAGGAGCCCCGTGGAGCTTGCTCTTGTTCTACATGTCGAAAGACAAGTCTGTACAAGCTGCGAAGATAAATAAAGGCCCTGGACCTGCCTGTTCTTTGCACAGCCATCAAAAGAAAATGCCAAGCTTGCCCTTCACTGACTTACTATCTTGTTTTTTTTAAAAAATGGATGCAACACTTCTTCCTTCCCGACTAGAATACTGTCAGGATTATATTGAGTAGTGCATGAAATATAGTACAAAGTCCTTGGATGACAGATGTTATGTATTTATTGCATTATGTAACTCCATAACATTGCAAATTCCTTATCGGTTCTCTTAAGCTTTCCCGTGATGCTGGACCATGCCCCAGCTCAACTTCCCTGTCCCCTAGACAGCCATTCCCCTCAGAAGATTGCTAATATGGCCATGCTGGAACATCAAAGGCAGTCATCTGGGAGAGGGCTGGTACAGATTACTTGCCACCCACAAAGAAATGCGGAGTAATAGTTACAAGGAAGACAGCCTCAGAATTACAGTCTAGTTTCTGCTCTGCTTCCAGGACAACGTGAGCGTGTTGCTGCTGCAACTCAGGGTCTGTGGCAAAATGACATTTGAACACAGTAATTATTGGAGTAATTATTGTCAACTGGCAGCTATTAAATTTATCATCAACACATAATTAGCCAGATATAGTATTTACCAGACTAAATAAATATCTGTTCTTCCACATATTTGTATTTACTTCACACAAAAACTGTGTTTAATAAACAAGGTTGCAAAGTCAAGAACTCAAAAGTTAGGAAATGCCAGACTTAGGGCTGCCTCTGCATCCTTAGTTCACTGTCTTTGTGTATGTTAATTATGTCTTTGATTACATAATTCTGTACTAGTTTTTCCACAGGGCAGCCTGCTTCAGGATACAGAAAGAGACTGCTCAAGTAGATGAATCAGAATTTTTCAAAAAAGGGTTAGAACTCTGCAAAACAATTCTGCCAGATTTTATAAACACGTAGAAAAATATTTTTCTCTAGTTCATTCTTCGAAATGTTTGAATCATTTTGTCTGTCACTGAAATAAAAAAAAAGAAAAAATGGACTAATAGAAAATATTTCATATTAATGATCTTAGATAAAAAAATAAGATTTACAAAATTAGTGAAAAATTGAAATTACATATTATAACAAAAAGTGTTGGACAACCGTGGTGTCAGGCAATATCAGCAGCCTCACCTATAATAACAAGAGGAAGCAAGCTGTCAACGTATTCATTTAGTTTTTAAAAAGAGTTTCTTACATCCAGTGTATCCCCATCCATAAACACTGCAACTGGTCTTCTCTGGAATGGTACATCCAGAAATGGGCAATCGGATTATTTCTACAAAATTTGTCAATATGGCAGGTCTGAAATGAGAAAATAAATAATAGATATAATGGATTTTACTTAACCTTCTAAAATATATTTATAATATGATGCTAAATCTATTATAGACCACCGCAATTAAAAACTGTAACAATTCTTTTCCTTTCTTTTCCATCTTTGAAGAATATGATGGATTCTTCTACCTATTTTTTGTGCTACAGCTGTTAACTGTCAAAAGATTTCTTGAAATGCTGTCACCACTTTTATACTATTTAACTTGAGTTTTCATCTTAAAAGTAAGTAATGATGGCGTTTCATTTGAATATATAGTTTTGCTAATATGGAGAAAGTTTGAAAGCTCATACATACACAGGGATCTCAGTTACAATCTGGTGCTTATGCTATAAATTAAAACCACATACTAGTCAATGTGGATTGTTTTGTTCTTCTTTCTAAAAAAAGAAACAATAAACCCAACCAACCTAAATTTGTTTACCAGAAAAAAGATGTAGGCATGATTTTTCAGAAGTAACATCTGTTTTCTGAGTAAGGTAGATGGACCCGCATTTCTGCATATATCAAGTAAAATTTCTTACAATTGGAAGTATACCCCATGGAGGCATCATCTGCACTATCAGATATAGTAAACAAAGGAATTTGCAAATCTTATTTAGGAAAAATCTCATTCATCAGTCAGAAATCCTGGAAATGACAATAACAGCTACTAACCTGCTAAGTTTTAGTAAGACCAAATCTGACCCTGCAGGACCATATACCAACTGAGAGATATTCAGAACTTGTCTATGCTTCTCTTCTCCCTTTCCTTTGATATTATGGACTCCAAGCCAGGCTTTGTAGTCTTTCAAATCTTTGTACCTAAATGAAGCAAAGTTGGTTAGGATTTCGCTGAGTGTACAATAAAACCCAAAAAACTCTACTTAATATGATTATGCGAGATCTTAACTAATACTGTTCACCAGAAATGGGTTTATGCTGCTAACTGCTATTCCAAAATCAACAAGCTCAGATGTAAGTTTTTGGTTCGAAGCCACTACATAATTTTATCTTTAACTCTGATTAAAATCTGATTTTTCTTTCCTAATAGTATCTAAACATATAGATCCTTGGACAGTATGAACCTTTGAACTTCTTGAGATCTTCCCAACTTTTCTATTTTATTCTATCCATTTAAGCAGAAGCATGAGATTGTTTCCATAAAGAGGCAATTGTCTAAGTTGCTTGGAAAACTTGGAAAACATATTTATACTTCTATGTAAAATAGTCAGAGCTCTTTCAGATTAACAACAACAAGAAAAGAAAATACCAAGATCTCACAGGACTTTTACATCAGAAAAGTAGTGTTAAAGCCAAACAGGAGGGAAGACTGCTGGTTGCAGACTACTTTACCGAGAAGGGAAACACTGCCTTGCTGTTAGAACCCACTCTTCCTTTATCAAAGTACCTCCACAGATATGCTTATTCCTGGGGGAGGGAAATAAAAAAAAAAAAAATTAAAAAAAATGATAATGTTAGTTTCTACACATTGAAAACTTTAAAGAGTACTTTTGCTCTCCACAAATTTTTGCTGGTGAAAGGTGGCTGACAGCCTGCAAAATACATGTCTCTGCCCCTTTTCTCCACAGTTTCAACACTTATAGTAGCATGACTTTACAGATTTACTCCAATAGTGTAAACCAGGAGGACAGAGACATTCAGTTACTTTATTCATTTAGTGGTTTCAAAACCGAATTTATAATAAAAGACCTAATTTAAAAAAAAAAAACCACCACCAACAACAAAAACCCTATTTTTTTTTGTAATAGGAACTGGTCTGAAACATTCAAGCAAGTCCCCAAACTGTCACCAGATGTAAACAACATTTGGTCATTATTCATGTAGGTATTATTCAAAGCATTGACCTCAAGGTGGAGAGTTCCTATTTGATTACCAGCCCTATGAGATTTCAGTCCCCACACACTTCAGTTGGAAACAATCTGCAATGTATGACATCCTACATGTGATTATAGAAAACCTGCAGCATAATATATCAAGTAAAATTAAAGCAATTAAGCATGACAGTTCTTTCAAAAATAAAGACGACTGTGGAATGTAGATTAATTAGTTTCCTTCTTTGTGCCTCCAAAATCACATTTATTTTCTGCAGCTTTTTGGAGAGTGAATCAGAATTGTCAGCAATTTGGGAAAAGCTTAAAATCTCACAACTTATAAATTCAAATCACACAAATGTTCAAAGCTTTGCAAAGAACTGCTGGAAGGAGCCCAGACTCTATACAGAGTTCAAAGACAGAAGAATAACACAGATGCTTGCCTCTTTTTCTTTTTTTTTTTATTGTATTTTGGTTGAGGAACAAAATATCTGGTCCAAAGGCTGGATGCTTTTTAAAATATAGAATCTGACCAGTTTTGTTACAAAAATGTCACAATCAGGAGTATAAATATGTTCTTGCCTATTATGTTTGCATCACTAATTATCAAAAGGAATTTACAAGATTGCATCATCTACTTTAGAAGATTGACTAGTACACGCAGGAAGGTTAAACTTTTTATTTAAATGTGGCACAAATCCAGAGCTGATTCCATGAAATAGATGAAATTCATCCAAATATATTTAAACACGCCTGATAACAGAATCTGGATTCATAGATTCATAGATTCATAGATTTCTAGGTTGGAAAAGACCTTAGAGATCATCGAGTCCAACCATCCCTAATCCCCATTAAACCATATCCTCAAGTAGATCATCCACCCTATTCTTAAACACATCCAGGGATGGGGACTCAACCACCTCCCTGGGCAGCCTATTCCAGTGGCTGACAACCCTTTCAGAGAAGAAATACTTCCTAACATCCAACCTGAATCTCCCCTGACTAAGCTTATACCCATTTCCTCTTGTCCTATCACCCATCACTAATGTAAAGAGCCCTTCCCCCACCTCCCCACCATCTTTTCTCAAGTATTTATAGGCTGTAATCAGGTCTCCCCTCAGCCTCCTCTTCTCCAGGCTAAACAGCCCCAACTCCCTCAGCCGCTCCTCATAAGTTTTATTTTCCAGCCCCTTGACCAGTTTAGTCGCCCTTCTTTGGACCCGCTCCAGGAGCTCAATATCTCTCTTAAAGCGAGGGGCCCAAAACTGGACACAATATTCCAGGTGCGGCCTCACCAGTGCCGAGTACAGGGGCACGATCACTTCCCTGCTCCTGCTGGTCACACTATTCTTGATACACGCCAGTATCCCATTGGCCTTTTTGGCCACCTGGGCACACTGCTGGCTCATATCAAGCCGGTAGTCAACCAAGACCCCCAGGTCCTTCTCCGCCAGGCAGCTCTCCAGCCACTCTTCCCCAAGCCTATAGCGATGCTTGGGGGTTTTATACCCCAAGTGAAGGACTCTGCACTTGGCCTTATTAAAGCTCATGCCATTGGCCTCAGCCCAACGATCCAGTCTGTTCAAATCCCTCTGAAGGGCCTCCCTACCCTCGAGCAGATCGACACAGCCTCCCAGCTTGGTGTCATCCGCAAATTTACTGAGGGTACATTCAATCCCCTCATCCAGGTCATTGATAAAGATGTTAAACAGAACTGGACCCAGCACTGAGCCCTGGGGAACCCCACTGGTGACCGGCCTCCAGCCGGATTTAGCCCCATTTACCACCACTCTTTGGGCCCGGCCATCCAGCCAGTTTTTAACCCAAAGGAGGGTGTGCCTATCCAGGCCAGCAGTTACCAGTTTCTCAACCAGAACACTATGAGGATCAGATGTACCAGAAAATATGTCACTGATTAATTTAGCGTTTAGAGGTGGACCTTAGTTGCCAAACATGAATACAAGTTTCTAAGTATCACTAAGCCTTTGCCATTCAGATATGTCAATTCTATTTTGAGGTGAACGGTTACTTTTTGGCAGAAAGTCTTGAAGGTATAAAGGTTTTGTTTCAGACAACACTCTATTTGTTTCCTTGGAAACAATACAAAACAAAACTACGTTTTGATGTCCACGTGTAATGTATTTTGCTACTGGAGTATTCGAGGAATCCCTTTTTCATAAAAGAATCTACAATCATTTAAGCACACATCTGCTTAAAGGAAGTTTGTTGCATAGAATCAAGTCCAGGTTCAACTATCTTAACATTAGCTATTTAAATTTAAGGCACTCAGATGCAATTCACCTTACCTATCTAAAATTTCCTCAAACATCAAGGCTGTTTTGAAAACAGTGCAAAGATAAACTGTTCCAGAGAGTGATTCAGCCCACCTATCTGGTTATTTAGTCTAGGAATAGAGTGATGTTCCTCTAGAAACATCTTTCTGGACCATCTACTAGACTTCCAGAAAGGTCTAGTTCTGATTGAAGCTCATAAGATGCAAAGATTACCAAGGATGGGAAGGACTCCCAGAATTTCTCTAGCAATGAAGCAATGCAGAAAATAGGCTTTTTATCTTTTAGTTTACCCCAATTTTTCACTTAAGTTCTATTTTACAACCTGCTTTTAAAACAGATGTCAAATCATAAGCTAATAGCAGTGACCTGTACTTCAGTCTGTGCAGCAGACTTTTTTTTCTTTTATTTCGTGATAGGAGATTCAGGGCTGATGCATGAGATATATCCCCTGTTACACATTAATGATTTACACTTCCAGCTGACGAGTTATGAACTAGAGTAATGAATATAGGAAGCAGTAATTCTGTGTTCTGGCTTTTACAGGGTAGCAAGTAACATCTGTCATAATGTAATACACATTTCCAGCGGTACATGTTAGTGTCTTGTTTTACAGAATGCAAAGGATTTCCTTATACCTTTTACTTTTTTTAAATGAAGATTACATTTCGATTGCATGCAATGATATGAGCAGAAGTTAAATTTGAGATAGGTATGTATCCTGAATCCAACACTTCACAACTAAATATACTGCTGTTAAAATGAAAATATTGATATGCACCTCAAAATTTTTTGCAACAGTCTCTAGAACAGTTTAATGCTGGATGCTAAGTCAATTATAGGAAAAGTAACTAATTATAGTCTGCAGTAACTAATCAAAAGCAGAATGCTATGAGTGCTTTACAAGTTCATGTGTAAGGTACTAATAATGAACATATAAATATTTCACTGATGGAGTAAATACTATGGAGTCACCTGATGTTCCAGGAATGCTGATTTTCTGCTTTTACACAATTTAACTGCAATCTAGAGGTATTCTTATTACGGTCAACATTTTCTACAGTTTCAAAACAAATACCCTGGTGCATGTCAAAGTCATAGTTACCTGTATGTCAAACTAACCACCCATCCTTCGTTAGTTTGTGTTGGGATTCCATTTACAACTCTCAAATGTTTTGTTGAGGCACAAGGAATGACAGTATCTGAAAGCAGGTCCAGAGATCACATTTTACTAAAAACAGCGGTAGGAAACCTGTACAGTTGCACATAAGGACCACAAGAAGGTCAATATTTATTACAGATTAGCTTTCCTGTACTAATGAGGTATATTTTCTAGAGTATCTAAACTACTTCAGTGTAGCTGGGTCAGTCTATATAAATATTCACAGGGAATATAAAATACATCTATTTAAATAGGTTTGTTATGGAGATTTACGTAATAATAAAGCAAACATTGAAAATCATTACCATATCTCACCACTGGCAAGGACAGTGAGAATAGATAAAGGAGTATAATAAAGCTATTCTACATATTCCTCTTGTAAAAGCAATTTTTCCCAAGCTATATGGCTCTTTGTATCTTTGACTGACATTTCTCTTCTTTCTCATTCTGAAAGAAATGGCTAGTTTTAGAGCATACAATACATGCTCTGCACAGTACATCCGCAAACTTACTTACCATCTGAGCTGGTTGTAGTAGGAGTTGTATCGCCTTCACCTAGACAGACACATAAGATATCCATAATACAAAATGAAAACACTTCTAAAAATTGAATAGTAAAAAAATTAACAGCAAATAGAATATTTTAATAGTTCACAAAGTTTTAAACTTCAGTGATGTCTTTAATATTCTGCAAAAGCACAATTTGCTAAGGATTGACGAGAAGGCAGAATTTCATTCCAATAGAATGAAATCAGAATTAAACATTTTGCAACAGGAGTTTAAAGCATTTTTTTTCTTGGCCGAATCCTGAATACATCAGACTATCTATGATATTCAATTTACATATTTCATTAGAACGAGTGAATGCTGAAAAATGAAGTTGTGACTTTTCTATAAGCTTTCAGGAACTATAGAAGTCAAGCGATTAAATCTTAAAAATCTTTGAAATGTCAAAAGTTCTTTTATGTTGTTATTAACAAAACTTCATCCTTAGGAAAACAAGTTCTCCAAAATCTGGTTTGGTTCTTCCATCCAGTCCAAGTCAAAATACAGTTGTAACAAGGTTGCTTAAACTTGGTTCAAAATTTTTGCCTTCAGTGAAGTCTGCAGAGTGACCCAGCATCGTGAGTTAGAGGTATAGATGTAGCTAATGAAAAATCGTACAGGGAAAATTTAAACAGTTTAATCAAGCTAGATTTCCATCATTAAGCAAATATGTATTTATAAAAAGGTATATAGTCATATACATAATTAAATTTCCATGTGTATGTATACACATATGCATATATGTATGCATATGCGTACATATAAATATATATATATATAGGGTAATTTGAAGAGGCCAGTTAAAGGCATCAAGTAAGTATATTTGGGAACTGCCAGCTTTTTTTCTGTATTGGTTAAGTTGGTTATCAGCACCTGAGTGAGCTAGTAGTAATTTAGTACTAGTACACAAAAGCTAAGTTTGTAAAACAGACATATTCCAACTCTGGAGTTTGATTCCAGAAATCATAATACTCACCATTGCCATATACTCTACAAATGTTTGCTGTGAATATATCCTTAGGAGTTTGTAGATCCAGATAATGAACTCAGAGTGAATGAATAATATTTATATTTCTTCAGCTGTTGTTCTTTAATACAGTGACACAGATAACCTTTTGCACAGTTTGTTTACCCTTCACATAGATGCCAAAATATCACCTGAGACTTCAAATATCAGCTCTTAGAAACACGGCAGTTCAGACTATGAGGAAATGTAGCAAATTGCTGCTAGGAATGAATGTAACATTATCCTTAACCTCTAGAGACCACAGACGTGCATTCAAAAGCCTGATTTACCATTTAAATAGTCTCTCAGGATATACAGCACAGTGATTTAGAAATAAGAATTTAAGAGAAAAATCTTGAACCTAAATGTGAATTGCACATTTTTCAGCATAAATCTTTTTTTCATTTAAGTTCAGTTTATTACTGAATTCCCTATGATTTTTAATTCTGTTTATTTAAGCTACTTAGATTTTAACATACAGCTTTGAAGGAATGATGTTCCTAATTCTTGCCAGGAATTAAGTCATCCCATAAACATCCAAAAGCAGAATCTACACAGCACATATACACATCGGTATACACGTAGCGAGTTATCCTAACTTTACAAACAAATACAGAACACACAAAGAAACTATGAAGCTTGTAGCAGAGAAGATAACTGTCCCTGGGTTTCTCGAGGCCACAGCCAGCATTCTGACCACTAGACAATTCTTTGTCTCCGTCCAGCCCTCATTCAATAGCTAGATCTTCTGAAAAATGTTTGACCATCTGTAATAGCCCTTTTATGCTCCTGCTGCATAAATAAGCCTTGAAATCTCTAAGCTGGTCAAGGAAAAGGACCCCTTGCTCATATATTGCACAAGCAGCTTCTCTCCATCCCTTTTCAGTCATGCACAATTGACTCTTGATAGAATTACACATCTTCTGCTGCCACAAACAACAACAGAAAAGGTATGCGTACGCATGCGGCACCATGGCTTCACTGGGACTGCACAGTCGACAATGCCTGAGGCATACCAAGTACTCACATCGAGAAATAGGGCAGTAATCCCAGGGAACGAGAGGATCATCTGTGTAACACCAGGGACCATGAAAATCATCATCTGGATTGCGGCAATAGTTTTTCTTCAGTTTACTAACATCTGGTTCTCTGAATATTTGTATATGCCTACAGGGAAAAAAAAATTCAAAGTGCTGAAAAGCTTTATTCTATAGCCTAAATTTTCAAAGGTTAAACGTTGCTTTGCTCCACATTGTAATATTAGCTGATTGAGAAGCCTACAGGTCAGGATTTAGGGCTGGTTAAAATCAAAGGGGACCCAAATGTTTGCTGGATCTGTTTCCTTCCTTCTGTCCAAGTTTCCGCTGGTTAGTATTTTAAGCACTGTGTCCACTGGACAGCTGGGAGGTTTCTAGATCTCTCACTTGAGCTAAAATCCCTGGATACCCTGAGAGGGCATCTTTACACAGATTAGAAGAGTGCCTGTGTTGCTCTCAGCAAATCTGCGGGCCCCTCTGGGAGCACAGGTAACTTCTCCCTGCAGATTAGTGGTTAGCACAAAGGAGCACTGAATCTGCAAGGAAAGCTGAACCTCAGGCAAAGCAAAGAGAAAGAAACACAAGAAAGTCAGCAAGGCTGAGCATCTGGTGAGGGGAAGGATGAACAGCTGAGACAAACTGCAGTGGTAGGGCACCTAAGTTGCAAACCCACTCGAGGCACTTTGAAGGTGAAAGTTTGGGGTGAAAATCTGAAAGAGAGATGTTTATTTCAGGCTTGTCAGACAGAAGCATACAGGCTTCCTAAGTTACGGCTGCACTGCCCTTTTGCTTCATAACCAACCATGCCTGCTTCTTCGAGCATACCTATAACCAGAGTAACTGCTGAAGTGAGGCAGATAACTCCCCAAAGAAGTTCCTAGCTAGAAAATTTTTGAGAGTAAGAGAAGAAAGGCTTATCTGTGCTCAAAATTATATAAATGCAATTGCATAGAGCATCCAGTTGGTTCAAGCTGTCTCATTTACAGCTGACTTATGAGAGTTCTCAGAAGTCAAGGCTCCAGGGTGATCTTATAGCAGCTTTCCAGTACCTAAAAGGTGGCCTACAGGAAAGCTGGAGAGTGACTTTTTACAAGAGCATGTAGTGATAAGACAAGGGGCAATGGATTTAAACTGAAAGAGGGGAGATTTTGATTAGATATAAGGCAGAAATCTTTCACATTGAGCGTGGTGACACACTGGAACAGGTTGCCCAGAGAAGTTGTGGATGTCCCATCCCTGGCAGTGTTCAAGGCCAGGTTGGATGAGGCTTTGGGCAACCTAGTGTAGTGGAGGATTTCTCTGCCCATGGCAGGGGGGTTGGAACTAGATGATCTTTGAGGTCCCTTCCAACCCGAACCATTCTATGATTCTATGATTCTATAACTTAAACCTCTGCCTCCCTTACACAGACAGCACACT